TACAGTTCTTTGCTAAATCTTCCCCTTTCGGAGATTGATTAGATCTCACCCGGGTGGTCGGCGCCAGCATATCGTACAGTCCGAACCTTTCGTTTTAAGCTGCCCCTGCCTGGCAGATACAGCTCCTACGCCCTGCTTCTCATGAAAGGAGCTGTTACATGTGTCCAACATAACTGTTGCATGGGTGCAACAAGTTTATAAAATTCAAAAACAGTCTGAAAATTAAAAGAAAACGCTTTGTAGCCAGAAGGGGTATTCAGACGATTGAACAAGCGAAATAATTGCTTGATAAAGTGCAATTATTTCTATCTAATTAGTCATTTCTTGAACTATCTCTGACGTACCATGTTAACTAAACAAGTGAAACCCAAAAATGCTACTGTCGCATCCTTAACCGTTTATACCACACTGTTCAATTTTTTATTTTTGAATTATTTTTTGCTTTTTGAAAAGAAAATCTTGATTTTTTTTTTCTGTAACAGCGCAAGGTTTATTAATAGGGTTTGCGAGTTATACACTACAGAAAGTGATATATACAAATATTTATCGAATACAATTTTTTGCACGTCTGTATATAATGGTAACTATATAGCGGCGGCAATATATAATGTCGGTAAAATCTTTAACTTAAACCATACTGTGTCTGTTAAAAAAGTAATTTTTTTGCTTGCTATTCTAATTCTCTAAATGACTTAACTCTTAGCAACAGATAAAAAAATTTTCCCTGAAAGCATGTCACTGTTTCGTGATTTTCAAAACTGCTATTTAAAATTGATGTCTTTGAGTCTATTGAAAGTTTTATAAAAAAAGCTTTTTCATCACTCAAGCACTCTGTTAAAAATTGCGAACAGTTCAGACACGGCTCTCCTAATGCAGTTTGTTTGATGTTCATTCCACGGCAGAATTACTCGCACAAAAATATCTTACAACATCGTTATTTTATATAGCAGCTGATTAAACTTTCGTAAAAATTTTTAAATAATTTAGCAATTTTTAATCATAGTAGATACTTTTTTAGCCGTAATTGCGATAACTACAGCACACTTGCTGTATTATCACTAAACATTTCAAGCTTTGTGTATAAAGTTGCCTTATAACTATTTAAAACGAAAAGACAGAAGCAGAGAAATGAAGAACAACTTTGGCTATGTCTGAAAACAGTTTCTAAAAAAATTAAAAAAGATAAAAGAATGTATTCCTTAAATTTTTCAGTTTTGACTAAGTTTTGGAGAAAAAAAATGGCGCAAAAGTTTTATAAAATTTTTGCCAGTATTTACCTCACAATTCTCAGACTACTTCTTAATTGTTTAACTAAAATATTTTGCCAAATATTCAGCGCTCTAGAAATTTCAGAATAATTCTTTTGAAGAAGTTCTTACTTTGTGGCACAAAGAAGAAAATTCTATGTTTAATTTTGATGGTTCAGAATAGACCAGTTTTAGAGTCTGGGTAAATTGTAATCATCACTATCTGTAATAAGCGTACGAAAAATTAATGTTTCTTTAGTTCACCAATCTCGGCTGTGAAGAATCGTAGACTGATGTAGTAGGTTGATAAATTTTGTTTCACCTTGGTCAAGTTTTTATAAGTTTACTCATTCTGCTGTAATGCAGTATAACTACAAGATTAAAAGCACTCAGATTATACTCACAACTTTCAAAGCGTAGCTGGATCAACCAGAGCTTAAAGATGTGTTACTAAGTAAACTGAATAATAATTATAAAATTCAAATTTTAAAGCAAATCTTTAAATTGCACTAAAATCTCTATATTTTGCGTTTTGTGTATTCAGTTAATAGTCTCTTGAGCCTCTGCCGTTTTAATCGATAAATGGTTTAAAGAGCATCTGTAGAGAAAACTTAGAAGGGTCCTAATATCGTTTCTTTCTTCTTCGTCTTTCTTCTGCTTTAGTAACTAACTTCAATTGCGTTATCACTAATTTGCTACACTGGTCCTGCAGCAAGCGTTGATAGACAATAAATTATTCGTTACCTCAAATTTGGGTAATTAAACCTTCATAGTAAATGTACGAAAGACAACAGCATGCAATACTGAAATGAAACTAAGGAAAGAACAGTATAGAGAAGCTGTATAACGCTGAAAGCAAAAATTAATAACAAGAATTAGGTAAATAGAATACATATCTTGTTGCACCTTCACCACCTTGCCTTTTTCATAGCCTTCCTCGTTGCTTACCGCTCCCACCTTTCGTTCACTATTAATTATTCTTCTTGATCTTCTTCAAAGACCACAAACTTTTTGATTCAAAACTTCAAACCTGCCAAAGAAATCCTGCTTTATGTTGTTCAAAATTCTTAAGGCTAAGATTACTTATTACTGCCTCAGGTGCGCAACAATAATAAGAACAATAATAAGAAACTACGCTGGAGGTCTGGGCGGGTGCTCGTTCTTTCTCGCTTTTTTACTGCGATGTCATAGAAAAGTGCTTTTTTTGATATTGACCAAGAATAACTTTCTATTTGAAATAAAAAAGACCGAAAATAAATTAGAGAAGGAGTTATGTCAAACTTGTTAAACTTTTAACCTAAAGCTAAGTTTTTAGCTGATAACTGTCACATCAAACTGCCATAAAAATCAGAGAATGTTTCAGAAAGCCGCTAAAAAACTGTAAACGTTTTGTTCAGTCTGATAATTAAATGGTGAAAACTTAAATGTCCGTGTTTTTCCGCTGTTTATAAACTGTTTTTCGACTTTGCTTTCTGAGCCTAATTTTTTTTTTTTTGTTCATGCTAAGAAAAAGATATAGTTTTATTCACTGTTTCAGAAAGACTTTCTGTAGATGCAAGACGAGGGCTACCTTTAAATCGCACCAAATGATAAATTGAAAGACATTCCCTTCACTTGTTTATTGTCGTGAATTTTTTTGAACATTATTAACGACGAAGGTAGAATTGTAAAAGGCATTGAGATCACATCTTCTGCTTTTCAAGTTTAATTGAATTAAAGACAAAAAGTTGCTGACGCAGCTCCACTTTATTTTTTTTGACAGATATTTTCTAATTTTCTCACCGGTTGTTTAAGTACTTGTTTCACACTTTGCTTTTTTTTACTCCTAAGAAGTTATTTCAGAATCTACTAAACGGTGCTCTCCGTACAATATATAATTGTTTTATAAGCAAAATACCTAAAATTGTCGGATGTAGGAAAATGGCAGGTAGCAAGCAATTTCTGAAAAATTTTTAGATTTTAGTATTATATTCGCTGCAGTAAAATTTAGAATGCAATAGCTTCTGAATTACAAAAATTTTTTTACGTTGACCTTTATCTCGTCTCTTCCCAACTAAATAAATCTGTGAAAACGTGAGAAATGAAATGCTGTTTTCTGTCTTTTAATTTTTAGTTTAGGCTTAAGAAGCATATACTCATTTTCTTTTAGCTCAGGAAAGAAAAAAGTGGAAAACGAACATGCGGTTTGTTCGAGGTGAGCAGATGCAACGAAATTAGCGTTTGTACATTCTTGGATTATATCTCAAGCGGGTAAGTTCTCTTCTCATTTTTAACCTGGTAGACAGAGCTTAACTGAGTGAATTTTTCTTATTATTGGTAGCGACCAGACGTATTAGGTTTTCTTGCTGTAAAGTGAGCTACGAGAAACAAGTTTAAGCAAGTTTTTTAACACATGTTTTTTTCAAACATAATGTTTTTTAAAAATCAAAGATTTTCAAAACTGTAAAACTGCTACTTTTGACTACTTATCCACTTGTGCAAATTTTTGAAAAATCTTTTTCAGTGAAGGCCATTTTAGTCGCAAACAGTGGCTATAAAGCTCCTCTAGTTTCTCAACTAACCAAAGGATAAAATTATTTCTGTTTGTTGCTTTTTTTTGAGGCATAAGACTTTGGTAGTTTTTTTCCTACGACCTTTTAGTGAAGCTCGAGAAATTTCAGTTTTTTTGGAAGCTTTTTATAAACAGAATAGGCTCTGTTTCTAATCACTGCCGAGTTCACGATTTCTTTAGATACTTTGACAGGTGTTGATGCTCTGTTGTCAAATTCCACTGTTTTAAGGTCTTCCTTAGAGCTAGCGGTAGTCGTCGATTTTTCCAGTTCTCAATCTACAAATGTTGACAGTACATTCATTGAAGAAGTTGTGTTGGCAATTCGAACAATTGGAGAACAAGTTAATATCTACACAAAGTTAGTATGTTCGAAACTTTCGATGATTAGCACTTTTTTCGACAACATTCCTCGTCATATAAAAAAAAAATTTTTTTTAAATTATTTTAGATCTAATATGTACAGCGCATTTGGTATTGGAGCAAAAATTCCTCCACTTTATCGCGAGTCACATCAGTTCTGTTTAGTATGTTAATTTACACTTTTATTATACTCAGCCATTTCGGAGCTGATAACGATTA